ATAGGTGGCAGGGTCCCAAATACTTGGGCCATAGTCTGCTGCCTTCCCAGGAGCATTAGCAGAGAGCTGGACTGGTAGCAGAGCAGCTGCGATTAGAAATGGTGCTCTGATATGGGATATTGGTGAGGATTATAGGTAGTAATTAACTTAATGTGCCTTTCAAAGAGAGAAGCCATATTTATATGATACTTAAGCGCCCCGTCTCTCACTATGTGATGCTCTATGATCACCAGAGTCTGAACCAATGGGGCCTGCCCAATCTTGGACTGTGACCTTCCAGAACCATAAGCCAAAATAAATCGCTACTTTCTAAGTACCTTGTCCCACAGTGTTCACAAAGGGACATTGGTCTGAAGTCTTCTATTCTTATATTCATAGTAAAGCTAGCCTCGAATGAGTCTGAAAGTGTTAGATCCTCTTCAATTCTTGGGAAAAGTTTAAAGCTGGTGCTAATCTATTTAAATGTTTGGGAGAATTCACCAGTGAAGCCATTAGGTATTTGATTTTCTTAATTGGCATGTGATAACTGATTAAATGTTTTTGATATGTCAATATTTTCTACATACTATTGAATAACTACATAATTTGCATTTTTCAAAGAATTTTTTTGGTATACAACTGTTCATAAAACTTGAGTATTTTTTTTTTTAAATTTGACAGGTAGAGTTATAGAGAGTGAGAGAGAGAGACAGAGAGAAAAGTCTTCCTTCCGCTGGTTCTCTCTCCAAATGGCCGCTATGGCCGGCACTGCGCCGATCTGAAGCCAGGAGCCAGGTGCCTCTTCTTGGTCTCCCAACAGGTGCAGGGGCCCAAGCAATTGGGCCATCCTCCCCTGCCCTCCCAGGCCACAGCAGAGAGCTGGACTGGAAGAGGAGCAACTGGGACAGAACCTGGAGCCCAAATATGATGCCAGCGCCGTAAGCAGAGGATTAACCAAATGAGCCATGGTGCCGGCCCCTTAAGTATCCCTTATTCAAAGTGTTTAGGACTATAACTGCTTCAGATTTGGGCTTTTTCCAGATTTTTGAATATTTGCACAGACTTTACCAGTTGAGCACAAAAAAGATTTTGTAGCTTTCTAAATTTTAGATTTTCAGATTTGGAGATGTTATACTGTAGCTTTCCATCAAAATTTTTTATTTCTGTAAAACTGCAGTAATGTCCCCATTTTCTTTTCTCATTTTGAATTTTTCCTCATTTCTCTTAGTTAGTACAGCTAAAAGTTTATAAATTTTATTGATTTCAAAAAACTAACTCTGAATTTTCTTTTCTCTATTGTTTTTCTATTAGACACTTGCTGTGCTCTCTCACTTTCCTCTCTCTCTCTCTTAACGTCTGACTATCTTTATTACTTCCTTCTGTTGTTTTAGATTCTTTTTTTTTTCTAGTTTAAAGGAATAAAGTTAGGCTGTTGAATTGAGATTTTCTTAATGCAAATATTTATAGCCATGAATATGCCACATAGCACTTCTTTCATTATATACCACAGGTTTTGAAATGCCATCTTTCCATTTTATTGGTAAAATTTATTAATTTTTACTTGAAAGGTAGGTAGAGAGAGGTAATCTTTCTTCTACTGGTTCACGTCCCAAATGCCCACAATAGCTGGGGCTGAGCCAGGCTGAAGTGAAGCTCAGAAGTCAATCTGGGTATCCCATGTGGGTGGCACACACTTCAGTACCTGATGCCCCTTAGGGTGTGCATTAGCAGGAAGCTAGAATTAGAAGCAGAGCTGGAACTTGAATATACTATGGGAGGCAGGCAGCTTAACTGCTGTGCAAATACCATCTGTGTGTTTTCATTTTCGTTTTCCTCAAGATATTTGCTAATTTCCCCTATGATACTCTTCTTTGAAACATGGAAAGCTAAATAATAAATTGTTTAATTTCTATATATTTTTGAATATTTAAGTTTTCCTTCTGCTATTGATTTTTATTTCCATTTTGATCAGAAAAGATACTTTGCATGATTTTATGATTTCAACATTTTTATATTCTTTAAGACTTGTTTTGTGGCAAGATGACTCCTTTTGTAAGACAGCAAATAAAATATATTTTGTTGGATGAAGCTTTTTTTTTTTTTTATTTGACAGGTAGAGATATAGATAGTGAGAGAGAGAGACAGAGAGAAAGGTCTTCCTTCTGTTGGTTCACCCCCCAAATGGCTACCATGGCTGGCGCTGAGCTGATCCAAAGCCAGGAGCCAGGTGCTTCTTCCTGGTCTCCCATGCGGGTGCAGGGGTCCAAGCACTTGGGCCATCCTCCACTGCTTTCCTGGGCCACAGCAGAGAGCTGGACTGGAAGAGGAGCAACCGAGATAGAACCCGGCGCCTATATGGGATGCTGGTGCCGCAGGCGGAGGATGAACCAAGTGAGCCTTGGCGCTGGCTCCTGGATGAAGCTTTTAAACATCAATATGAATTTCTAGTTGCAAAAAAACAGTGAGCAAAAAAATGATGAGACACATCATATTCACTGTACAAAAGCAAATAAACAGTTGAAAATAGGTATAATCTCATAAGTCACAGGGGAAATACAAATTAAATTCACAATTAGAGACAACTACACACCTGGTAAGATGTTAAAAAAAAAAAAAAGTAACAACACCAAATGCTGTTGAAGACGCAGAGGACAATGAATTCCTTGGGGGCCAGTGCTGTGACACAGCTGCCTGCAGTGCTGCATCCAGTGCTTGGCCACTGCATGCAGTGCATGGCCACTGGTTTGAGATCCGGTTGCTCCACTTCCAATCCAGCTCCCTGCTAATGTACTCAGGAAAGCAGCAGAAGATGGCCCAAGTATTTGGGCCTCTGCCAATTATACAGGAGACCCAGATGAGGCTCTTGGTTTGTGGTTTTGGCCTGGACCATCTCTGGCTGCTGCAGCCATTTGGGAATTGAACCAGCGGATAGGAGATTTTCTCTCTCTCTCTCTCTCTTGTTCTCTCTAACTCTGCCTTTCAAATAAAGAATTAAAGACATACATACATACATAAATCTTTTTAACAAAATAATCACTCATACACCACTAGTTGGAATGTAAACCAGCACAGTTAATCTGGAACATAATTATGCAGTAATTGCTAAAATTAAGCATGCATTACCATATAATCTAGCAATTGCATTCTTAGGGTTTTATCCCAGAGAAATGAAAATACATGTTCACACAAAAACCTGCACAGAAATTTTCACTGAAACTTCATTTGTAATAGGCAAAAGGTATCCTTTACTAGTGAGTTACTGTTTCTATCATGGAATACTAATCAGTAATAAAATGGGATGAACTACTGATATATGCAACAACTTGGATGAATTACAAGGGGATTATACTAGATGAGAAAAAAGGTTTTATATATATTTTATTCATTTAACAATCTCAAAATGACAAAATTATATAGATGGAAAATATATCAGTGGTTATCAGAGCTTAAAGATGGGAGGAAGAAACAGCATGAGGTAGCTTTGTGGTGATGGACAAATTGTAGATTTTGACTATGGTGATAAATATTTGAATCTACACAAGTAAGAAGTATAATAAAATTATACACACACACAAATGAATGCACATAAAATTGGTCAAATCTGAATAAGCTCTTTGGATTGTATGAATGTGAATTTACTGATTTTCAAGATGTTACCATTGAAGGAAACTGGGCAATCTGCTTTTCCCCGATTTTTCATGTAAATGTATAATTATTTCAAAATAGAAAGCTTTGGGGCCAGCATTTTGGCACAGTGCGTTAAGCTGTCCTAACACTGGCATCCCAGATCGCAGCACAGGTTTGATTATGGCTTCTTTGCTTCCAACCTAGCTCCCTGCTAATGTGCCTGGGAAAGCAGTGGAAGATGGTGCAAGATCCATGTGGGAGATCTGAATGGAGTTTCAGGCTCCTGGCTTCTTGTGGCTATCAAGGGAGTGAACCAGCAGATGGAAGAGCTCTGTCTGTCTTTTTTCTATCACTTTGTCTCTCAAACAAAATAAAAAGCTTAAAAAGGAAACAGCTACTAAAAGTTCTAAGCGAGGCGCTATGGTGTAGATTGTTTTGAGTGTGTCTTCTGCCAAAGTCTCATGTGCTAGTAGCTTGGATTTCAATGTGGTGGAACCTTTAAGTGTTGCCTGGTGGAAGGTGGTTAGGCTTTTGGGAGTGCCACTCTTATAAGGGATTAATGTGGTTTTGGTGAGATCATAATTTCCATGAGAGTACACTATTCTAATAAGAGCAAGCCTGGCCCCTGAATCTTTCTGTCATCCTGTTTTTTCTTTTCTTTTCTTTTTTTTTTTTAAGATTTATTTATTTTAAAGGCAGAGTTACACACTCACACACACACACACACACCCCTTCCATCCACTGGTTCACTCCCCAAATGGCTGAAAGAGCCAGAGGTGGGTTGATCCAAAGCCAGAGGACAGGTGCTTCTTCTGGGTCTCCCACATGGGTGGCAGGGATTCAAGCACTTGGGCCTTCTTCCACTGCTTTTCCCAGGCGCAGTAGCAGGAACCTGGATCAGATGTAGCGCAGCCGGAACTCAAATTGGTGCCCATATGGGATGCCACTGCTGCAGACAGCGGCTTAACCTACTACACCACAGAGCCAGCCCCTGCCATCCTGTTTTACCATATGCTTTCTTTCTCTTGCATTAACTACTATCATGTTGTGACATGTTGTCATGTTGTGTCACAGCTGGGATTGGGAATAGGGGGTCAGCAGGATGCAGGCACCATGCTTCTGAACCACTAGAACTCTGAGCTTCATAATAGCAACATAAAATGATGAAAATAATATGCATTGTTTTACCATTTATGCTTTATCACAGTTCATTATCAGAAATCTTGGCTTCAAAAGTTGTGGGTTTCTTTCTTTAATTAAATACAGTATACCATTTCTTTTTACTAACAGAGTCCATATGTTGTATAAATACAGCACAACTATGGTAGTGGGGCCAACTGTATTGCTCTACTGCACTAAAGAACTATGCATCATTACTGTAGATCCATAAGTACCTGCAAAAGCCATGCAGACGTGGTCATCAAGGGCACAAATTTTCCTCACAGTTCTTTCATCTTGAAGTTTGGCAACAGATTTTTTTTCTACTCCAAGCACAACAATATTGGTACCCCGAATTCCAACCTGTCAATAAAGATTGTTTTTAAGTTTGAAGTTTAAACTTAAGTCATCCTTACACATGACTTAGAGGTAAAGGTTTTTGTTCGAACATATAATAAAAATGATAAAAGTATACTGTTAGTGAAGCAGTTGCACAGGTACAGGCTTATTGTTCATTCCTCAAACTCAAGGTAAAGAATACAACTAGGTAGAAATAGCAAACGAAAATTCAACCAATGTTAAAACTAAAAGAGTGTCCTAATCTCATTAAAAAAAAAGAACCTGAAAAAGCACTATCAAAATATAGTATGATTTTCAACCAAAATGCAAGGAAACGAGGGTAATCCATACGGATTCCTTATCGAGTAAGTAGTACCAGATATGGCAGTAAAAACAGGAAACAAAAGTAGAAAAACTTCTGCAAAACTCTCTCATGCATCTTGCAATTTGGAAGGATAGGAATTGGAGGCTGTTTTATTATCCCCCAAAATTCATATGTTGAAAACTTAACCCCCAAAGTGATATCAATAGAAGGTAGGACTTTGGAGAAGTGGTATGGTAGGGAGGATGGAATGCTATTAATAGAATTAGACCTTGTAAAAGAGGTACAAGAGAACTTGTCTGCGCCTCAGTCACATGAGGATACAGCAAGAAGGGGTCATCTATAAAGCAGGAAGTGGTTCCCATCACGTGCTGAATTGGCCTTGATTTTTGGATTTCCAAGCTGCTAGAACTGTGAGAAATGTTTCTGTTATTTTTAACCTGCCCACTATATGGCACTGAGTTATAGTAGCCCAAATGAATCAAGACAGGGCCATAAGCAGCCAAGAGAACACTAAATGTCCTTACCCTGTATCACTTATAAAGAAAGTTTCATTTAAACAAGAAGGAAACAAGTGGAAGAACTATGGCTCTTTCCTTGCTAGCCATTTTCTGAAGAAAATGGGTAGAAAATCTAATTTTGTAAATTAGATTGTAACCAATGTACAAAGTAGTAGTTCTGAAATAGGGACTTGCGGGGAAATACTGCCATATTCTCAGTAATTATTTCAGAAGAGAACTGTCCTTCAAAAACAAGTAATAGGCCCAGGAGGTTGATACATACATTCTGTTAGGGTAATTCCTATGCTAGTCTATAATACAGATAAAAGTGGAAATGTTCCTAACTCTTTTTTTTATGAAATTTTGGATACTACATAACAATCTTAAATGTACAAATATAACACTTTCTAAATCATGGAAAGGACCAATAATTCTTACGTAGGAAAGCTGATTAAAAATTCAAAACAAGAGATTATTCACAGAAAACATTATTGGTCACCTCAGCAAGATGGCAGACTAGTAGTTTCTAGTACTCATCTGCCAGGAGAAATGTCAATTTGAACAACCATGCAGGAAAACAGCTTCATAAGAACAAAGGAACACAGGTGAGAAACTCTAGCACTAGGACTGACCACAGAAATAAGAAGCATTGGTGAGGTTAGGAAAGATAGTTTCTCATGAAATTGTCACCTTTCTCCCAAGCCAAAACATTACAGTTCAAAGAGACAGATACACTCCATGTGATAGAAGCAGAGTGAAGTGACTTCATCATAGACTGCAACTCTGTGAGCTACAGTCCTTGTGGACTTACATGCTAAGGCTATTTAACTGCTAACCCAGGCACCAAGCTAGCACATCTAAAGACTATGGCAGTATGCCCACTCAGAATCTTCAGATGGGCTGACTGGTGAAAGACTTTCCCTGGTAAAGCAAATTTGTAAGGGCTGGAAGATGTGCCTACTTTTAAATGTGTAGATACCAATGCAAGTTCACAAAGTTCATGAATAATCAGGGAAATATAATATCACTAATACAAAATAAAGTACCAGTAATTGAATAGAAAGAAATGAAGGTCTATAATCTGGAAAAAGAGTTAAAAGTAGTATTATTGAAAAAAATTCAATAGATAAATGTTACTACTGGGGCCCATGCTGTGGTTTAGGTAGCAGAGCTGCTACCTGCAGTGCTAGTATCCCATATGGGCACCGGTTCAAGCACCAGCTGCTCCACTTCTGATCCAGCTCCCTGCTAATATGCCTGGGAAAGCAGTAGAGGTTGGCCTAGGTGCTTGGACCCCTGCACCCATGTGGGAGATCTAGAAGAGTCTCCTGGCTCTTGGCTTTGGTCTAGCCCAATCTTGGCAGCTGCAGTCATCTGGGGAGTGAAACAGCAGATGAAAGACCTCTCTGTCTCTTCTTCTTTCTCTGTAACTCTGCTTTTCAAATAGATAAAATAAATCTTTTTTAAAAGTTACAAGAGAAGAGCTGGCGCCACGGCTCAATAGGCTAATCCTCCACCTGCGGTGCCGGCACCCTGGGTTCTAGTCCTGGTCGGGGTGCTGGATTCTGTCTCGGTTGCCCCTCCTCCAGGCCAGCTCTCTGCCGTGGCCAGGGAGTGCAGTGGAGGATGGCCCAAGTTCTTGGGCCCTGCACCCGCATGGGAGACCAGGAGAAACACCTGGCTCCTGGCTTCGGATCGGCATAATGCACCGGCTGCAGCATGCCGGCCGCAGCGGCCATTGGGGAGTGAACCAACAGCAAAGGAAGACCTTTCTCTCTGTCTCTCTCTCTCTCACTGTCCACTCTGTCTGCCCCTCCCCCCAAAAAAAAGTTACAAGAGAAAACAGACAACTAAACGATATCAGGAAAACAATATATGAATGAAGTGAGCCAACAAAAAGACAGAAACCATGAAAATGAGGCAAACAGAAATTCTAGAGCTGAAGAACAAAATGACTGAGTGAAAAATGCCATAGAGAGCATCAACAGTTTCTTGACAAAATCAGAAGAATTGGCAGGTTCAGACAGGTTATTGGAAGATGAGTTAGAGAAATAAAAAGAAAAAAAGAATGAAAAATAGTGAAGGCCTATGAGACTTATGGGACACTTCTAAAGAACTAATTTTTAACATTGTGCCAGTCCTATAATGAGCAGTGAAAAAGAAACAGGCAGAAAGCTTATTTAAATAAATAATGACAAAAATTTCTAAATTGAGAGAAGGAAATGAACAACTACATTCGTGAATGCCACAGAACCTGAAATATATTAAAAATGAAATCTTCACCCAGACACATTATGATCATGTTCTCAAAGGCCAAAGAGATTTTTTTTTAAATGGCAGAAGAAAAATGACACATCATATACAACAGAACTCTCATTAAGACTGTTAGTGGATTTTTCAGTAGAAACCTTTCAGGTCAGAAGAGGATGGGCTGACATAAGGAAACTTTTGAAGACAAAAAACTGCAAATCAAGAATACTATAGTTTAGGGCTGGCATTGTGGCATAGCAGATTAAGTTACCATCTGCAATGCCCAAATCCCATATGGGTGCTAGTTCAAGACCCATCTGTTCCACTTCTGATCCAACTCTCTGCAGAAGTGCCTGGGAAAGTAGCAGAGGATGACCCAAGTGCTTGAGCCCTTGCACCCACATGGGAGACCAGGAAGAAGCTCCTGGTTCCAATCTGGCACAGCCCCAGCCAGTGTGGTCATTTGAGGAGTGAACCAGCAGATGGAAGACCACTTTCTGTCTGTCTGTCTTTGTCTTTCTGCAACTCTGTCTTTCAAATAAATAAAATACATCTTTTAAAGAAAAGAATACTATATCTTTAGAAATGGAGTAAAGATGGCAGGCACTGCAGCTCAATAGGCTAATCCTCCACCTGCAGCGCTGGCACGCTAGGTCCTAGTCCCAGTCGGGGCGCCAGATTCTGTCCCGGTCGCTCCTCTTCCAGTCCAGCTCTCTGCTGTGGCCTGGGAGTGCAGTGGAGGATGGCCCAAGTCCTTGGGCCCTGCACCCGCATGGGAGACCAGGAGAAGCACCTGGCTCCTGGCTTTGGATCAGCTGCCGCAGCGGCCACTGGGGGGGTGAACCAATGGAAAAGGAAGACCTTTCTCTCTCTGTCTCTCTCTCTCACTGTCCACTCTGCCTGTCAAAAAAAAAAAAAAAAAAAAAGGAGTAAAGATCCCCCTCAATAAACAAAAGCAGTGGGAACTCATTTCTACTATATCTGACATACGAGAAGTAATAAAGGAGTTCTTCAAGTTGAAATAAAAAAGTAGCATCATGAAAACATGGAAATATAAAACTCACTGTCAAGGTAAGAATATTCTAGCACTATAACAGTGGTGCATAATTTATCTTTTAAAAAATATTCTTATTGCATTTGAAAGGCATGGGGAGGAGGGAGGGAGAGAGGGAGAGAGATTGATTGATTAATTAATTGATTTTGGTCATTTTTCTATTGCCTTCCCAATGCAGGAAGGTGGATGGAAAGTGGAGCAGCAGGACTTGAACCTACACTCTGTATATGGGATACCGGTGTGTTAAGTGGGGGTTTAACTGCGCCACAACACGGGCCCCCAGGGAGAGGCTTAACTCTAATGTCTTCATGCTAATGGTTGATCCTGGTGGTGGTAGGAAGTGATAATCAGGTTAATTAGTGAAGAGAAAACAGTTATAAATGTGTGTACACCCAACATTAAATCACTTACATATATAAATCAAATATTAGCAGAGCTGAAGGGAGAAACAGATTGCACTGCAATAATAATAAAAGACTTCAACACTCTTCTTTCCATAATAATAGGCCATTCAAACAGAAAATCAATAAGGAAACGAGTGGACCTGAATAACTCTATAGACCAAATGGATCTAACAGTCATACAGAAAACACTCTATCCATCAGCAGAATACACATTCTTTTCAGACACACATGGAACATTCTCCAAGACAGGTTAGGACACAAAACAAATCTTAAATTTAAGATTGAAATCATATCATCCATCTTTTCTGACTACAAGCCTATGAAAATAGAAATCAGTAGCAGGAATAAAATTGGAAAATTCATAAGCATGTAGAATTAAACATATTCCTGAACAACCAATATGCCAAAGAAGAAATCAAAAGGAATATAAAAATACACCTTGAGACAAATAAAATGGAAGCACAAAAAGCCAAAACCTTTAGGATGCAGTCAGA